ATTTACCAAAAAACACTCATCACTAACTGCAGTCCCTTTTGCTCATTAGCCTTTTTACCCAAGAAAAGATTGCAGAAATGATAACTTTTGATTAAGTAAGGGTGAGCTTAAGCCATATATATATATATATATATATATATATATATATATATATATATATATCTGTCTATATTTCCAAGATTAGGTATTATGTACATTACTTACATTATTCGGTACTATTGTCCTCATCTTTGTCGCCATATTTATTATTACAATGTTTCGGCCTTCTTCAGGTGGTTGGAATGTCAAATGTAACCCTTTATTTCACTCACTGGGGTAGACTGTTCTAGTTCCACGTGCCATGTTTAATGGATGTTAGTTATCAGTTATCCTCTCTTAGTCCAAATAAATAATATATATTTATATATATATAAGGTAAGCATTTTTTGCTCAGTCTAGGCAATCTAAGTTCTGAGTATTTTATTTTATTGAATAGGTAAGTTTGCTTTCTTATCTTTTTTCTCTTTCTTTTTTTTTCAGTATTGTCGTCTTTATTCAAGACTGTATCTGGATAAGAGTTCAGGTTTTGGCAAGATGTCCACTGGTTCCACCAACATTTTTTGTTTTTCTTTAATATTGTGTGTGTGTGTGTGTGTGTATATAATAATGAACTCTCCTGTCGGTTTCGATGTATGAGGATCTGACAGTTTATTGATTCAGGTATGAAATTTTGTGCAATAATCTTAAGTGGCATTTAAGACCTGCTAGTGATTTAAAAAGGAGGCCACATATGAAGCACGAGTAAGGATTGTGAGTTGAGATCAATTTTAGCTTGGCTGACCTTTTAGATCTTGCTCTCGCTTCTTGAAAATGATTCAGACAAGCAGATAGAAAACTGCTGAATCTGCTAAAACACGTTGATCTCCATTCTACTCTTGCCAATGATAAGCCCTCAAGGGTGTTATGTTGTATCTTGGAAGCTGACAAGTGGATAAGAATGAATCAAGTTAAACCGCCAGAAAACCCACAAAAGTGACTTGCTTCTTGAAGATGATTCCGACAAGCTGCTTGAAAATTGTGGTGTGTGTATATATGTTTCATCAAAGATGACAGACAAGGTACTGCAATTAAACTTTTAGATTAATTTTTCTTGTGTCTGAACAAGTGTTTTCTTTTCTAGGCACAGAGTATGTAGAAACTGTCCAAATGTTCTGTAATTTCAAGTGCTTTCACCTATACTTTTAGCCATTATCAAGGATGATTTTATTTTTACTTTTATTTGGGTGTGTGAGTTGTGTGTATGTTTCTAGAGTTATAGAGATGTTTTATTTTCTAAACACAGTTAACACATTGTGGCTGTGTTTGTAGTCAATAATATTATTGTATGTTGGCTTTTTCTTTTTTATTATTAAGGCTCCCATTATTTTTAATCTTTTTTACATGTGGATGAGGTTATTAGGTTTGTATTTTCTACTAGTATGTTTTGGATGGAATCTGGTAAGTTTGTGTGTGTGTGTGTGTGTGTTTGAATGGGTTCTGATGCAGCTGTGGTTGGATAGGCGTCATGTAAGGTGTCTGGGTAGGAGTATAGTAGCATGATCAATGTAATTATTTACAGTTTAGTTTGGTTTGTTCAGGAACAGAGTATATATATATATATATATATATATATATATATATATGAAAGAAAAAAACTGAAAAAAACAAAATTCTGAATATGCATTATTAATGTTAAAATAAAGTCGACGTCGGACGACGGTCTATTTAAGACCATCTTCATGGACATTTTCATTTAAACATAATTAACATTATAACTTATAACAATTTAACACAAAAGACGATGGACATAAGAGCCCAACTAATTCAGACAGATAACTGAAATTTTATACAGATCAGCGTTCTGTTTAAATATGATCAATGTAGTCGTCACGTGGGCAATGTTGTTAAGACGTATTCAAGATGATTTCCAAAAATTAAAAAAATATCAAAAGTCGAATGAAAAATTTTTATAAACAATTAAAGAAATCTCTTCCGTTGATGTTGGAATACGTAGTGATCAATGGTTCTTATATCTTCAACAAGCTTGAAAGTCTTTCCCGTTACAATGCAAATCCAAAAGTGATTTTAAAAACGATGGAACAGTTCTAAAAAACAGTTCGATAAAAATTCCATTCTTTACTTGATCAATAGATTCTCTCGTCCAAGCTTGAAATCTTCCACGTTAAATAGACCGAAACGTCCGACGTCGACTTTATTTTAACATTAATAATGCATATTCAGAATTTTGTTTTTTCAGTATTTTTCTTTCATACTGTCGGATTTATATCCATATATTATATATATATATATATATATATATATATATATATATATATATATATATATTTCTTCTATCACAGATACTTGGTTCCCAGTCAACTTTGATCTTCAAAGCTTTAAATGCAGTGTTAATTGTTATCTTCTGTAACTGTTAGCATAGAACTCACATATATATCTAGTCATTTCAAATATAAAACTATGTGACCTTGCTGCCAATCTAGTACTGCACTTAAATTCATAAAGTCAAGGTACCATAGACAAAGTGCATGAGAAGAATTACCATAAAAGTATTTAAATAAAAGTCACATGGAAATTACATTATGGTGGTGGGGAAAGTGACTGAAGCTGAGATGCCAGGTCAGGATCAATAACATCTCATATTATTGAGATTCTTTAAATATATAGCAGGAGCATTGGACCATATGTGGCAGCAATATTCAAGGCATGAACAAATGGTAGACATATAAATATTTGAGTAAGAAAAACTGAAAAAGAAACACAAGATTCCAATTATAAAGCACTTATCACAGCATAACATCACTATACTAACTTACTACATTAGCTCCCTATATCCTGCTGTGAGTAATTATTTAATAGGATAAACAAAAGAAAGAATTCTGAACTGCTAATATCAATCCTTCTATAAAGCAATGAATGCTAGACAATCTCTTTACAGTTAAAAGACTTGAGGCAACAGAAACGTGATTCTACAGAAGGATACTGAGAATGATATAGACAGAATATAAGGAGTAAGTTTTAAGGATAATGGAAACAAATAAAATGCTTATACTTAGAGTCAGAAAGACACAATTGAAATTTCTAGGACAATGATGAAAAAGGGCCTGGGGAATTTTGCACTCACAGGTCATATTGGTGGCAAGAGGGACACAGAAAGTAACCTACCTGAAGAGTTTGTGTAAATGGATAGCAGAACAGGGTCTAGGAAGTATAGTAAAGGAACAAACACTGATGATAACTACAAAGATGGGAAGTTATGGAGAGCCATAATCACCCATGTCCTGATCACATTTGCATTGTGAGTCAGTGGTAATCAATTCTGTGAGAGGCAAAAGAGTAAGTTTTATTAGCCTCTGAAAAGAGAGTAAAAAAAGTGAGGAGGGAGAGGATAAGAAGGGAGCACTTGCTATGCTTGGGAAGTGTAGGAAAAATTAGCTTAACAGGGTTCCATGGCTAAAGAACAAACATGGGGCTTTAAAATCCTTCATTAGGCTTGGAAATGACCTGCAGGTAACCTGGAGTGGATGGGGGTGTAAATAACTGACACACTCCACCAGGAGGCTTATGTTTAGCCAGTAGGCTAGGGTTGAACTGATTGGGTTGGTGAGAACAGGGGTCAGAATAGGGGTAGGGTTTAAGGATCATAAACTTCTTGATTGATGCCTTTTGATGACTCCTTTCTACATCTCCTTCCCAGCATCCTCCTTTTAGACAAACAACTAGTAAATTTGTGAGGGACACTTATCCCTAAAGAGGCAACTGACAAGGGAATGTACCAACAAACACCCACATAACAAGCTATTAGGTTGTGGTAGGGGAGTTGTCTGATAAAGGGACATCCTGCAAGCAAGGAATTTGTCTGGTAGGGAACATGTTACTCATTGTCTGAACCAAATAATATCTACCTTTTTACATGATAATTTTAACAAAAATTCAGTTTAAAATCATAATTTTGAAAATTTTAAAAGTATTTCTTGTGATGGGTGCATAATTCAAGTTTTCCTACTTGAATGTTCTTCATTGGTAGGTAGTAGAAGGAGCATACATACAAGTATATGTGCTAATATACAAGTGAAGAAAGACTTATTTTAGTATTGGTTCATGTTGTCCAGAGCACAAGTGCTACCATCTTGGAATATTTTTTTTTTGGTTTGAAATACAAGGTGCAATGAGTAAATTGTTACCATTTTATATTTTTAATTTCATGCATGTGCATTGTTTGTTTTTGATTTTGTCGACTGCACAGTATAGTAGGGTCAGTTGGGCACCGTCCGTGATAAAAAGATCAACATTATGCAATTCACTCCACCAGAAATTTGATTTGGTTTGGTTTGTTTTACAGCATATCAACCTCAATGCTGACAAAAAATTTTATTGCTGGTAATATTTTGTTTTGTCAAAAATCTATTTCTAGTAATATTTTTTTTCCTCAAAAATGTATAGCTGGTAATGTTGTTCTAAAAAATGTATTGATGGTAATTTTTTTTTTTTTCAAAAACGTATTGCTGGTAATATTTTTTTTTTTTTTTCAAAAATGTATTGCTGGTAATATTTTTTTTTTCCTTCAAATATTTATCTCTGGTAATAATTTTTTACAAAGTATTTCTGGTATTAAAACCTTCTTTTACACTTTCATAATGCATTTTACCTCAGTTTGGGGGTTAACTATTTTCCCATAGCTGAGACCCTAACAGGTGCTACGACCCTGGATCAGGGTGGACCTGGGAACACCAGCAATTAAGAGGTGGTTCCACTATCCATAAAACCTCCTGATCAGAGACCTTGCTGTTGGACGTAGTTTATCGTCTTACTTTGGACACGGATATAGTTTATTGTCATATCCAGGATGCCAGAAATTTGGAAATGATATACTTTACTGCTTGACATTCAAACTCCAATACAAACATTTCAGGGCAGTGTAGAGGATTTAGAAAAAGTTGAATGATATATCTAGTCAACATCACAGTGTTTGGAGTGATCACTAGTGATACTGATGTTATGCTTCTGTTCAGATAGATAGATAGATAGATAGATAGATATGCTTCCATTCATCTTCTCAACATGAAGGCCTACATCAAGTGCCTTGCAGAGGTAAGTGCTGCCCTGCGCCAAAACGGTGACTGCTGGAAGACCCTATGCCTGGCAACAGAATTCTGAACCATGCCACACAAGCAGAAGAACTTACTCATGGCTGTCAGAATTACTGCAACATCACCACTTACATCTGGCCACCTAACTTCCCAGACTGTAACTCCCTTGATTATTATGTGTGGGGCGCAGTTGAGTGAAAGACCAACAAAACTCCGTATAACACCAAAGATGAACTGAAGGAAAGGACTATGGCAGTATTCACCAACTTTTAAACAAGGAGACTGTCTAGAAGCACTGCAGGAGATTCCAAAGTTGTCTGGAGGCTGTGGTTGAAGCCAATGCCAATTTTATTGAATAAATTTACTCTTTAGTATTTCAAGAAATTTTTGTGTAATTTTGGTAAATATATCTGTTAAAATGAGATGTCAGGGTTATTTTCAATTTTACGTCATTTTGATGACAATTTATCAATCGCATCCTGTATATCTGTTAAAATGAGATGTCAGTGTTATTTTCATGTTTGTGTCATTTATATGACAATTTATCCATCGCACCCTGTATTAATTCTTAGGCTTAAAACACTTTTTTTTTTATTGGTATCATACCATGCAAGGCAGAAATGCCACTAAGACACAAGGGGCTACAGGGTGTGGAAGAATTAGAAAACAGAAACATTACTAATGAATGAGAGCAAAAAGAGTCATCAGGAGAACAGTAGATAATGAATAACATTGCATTTTAATTTTTGAAGATTAAAGTTCACTGGAAAGCAGGGAGCTGGAAGGGACTCTCACAAGTGAGAAGATCGAGAAGAGAAACTGTTAGAATAGAAGTTATGGTTACATCTCACCAGCTCAACGGTAAATTGATGAAATCATTTGACTTAATGTGCAAATCTCTTGCTTCAGACCACAAACTTTTTGATTTAAATCACAAATATTTTGGATTAAAATACATGTTTTGACTGAAAATGTGTAATATATTTTTGCTTAAAACATTAATTTTAGTTTAAAATTCATTACTCCTTTAGCTTAAAATCAATAAATCTTTAGATTTAAAACATACTGTTTTGGCCTTAATTCATTATTCCTTTAGCTTAAAATCAATAAATCTTTAGATTTAAAACATACTGTTTTGGCCTTAATTCATTATTTCTTTAGCTTAAAATCAATAAATCTTTAGATTTAAAACATACTGTTTTGGCCTTAATTCATTATTTCTTTAGCTTAAAATCAATAAATCTTTAGATTTAAAACATACTGTTTTGGCCTTAATTCATTATTCCTTTAGCTTAAAATCAATAAATCTTTAGATTTAAAACATACTGTTTTAGCCTTAATTCATTATTTCTTTAGCTTAAAATCAATAAATCTTTAGATTTAAAACATACTGTTTTGGCCTTAAAACACCAGAAACCTTTGGCCTTATTTAAAACACATCAAGTCTGGGAGGTTAAAATGGAGATTGTTTTAAAACACATGAAAATCTTGACTCAAATACATGGATGTTCAAGCTGAAACATCATTTCTTTTTGTTTAAAATGTTACTCTCATTATGTTCTAAAATATACAATATATTTTGGATTAACACAATGGATTAAAATGAATGTTTTGGTTGAAAACATTAAATGGTGTCATTTTAACACTTCCGCTGCTAACTACGGAAATCTTCGTTTTTCTTATCTTGCTCCAGCTGGCTAAGTACGGAAACCTACGTTTTTTGCATACAGCTGATATGAGTGTCCTGTTGCGCCATCTATCGTAAAATCCCAAAGTACAATGCTTCAAAAGATATCATGTGTATACCCATTATTGATCTGGTAAGTCATTCCCAGGTATATCCATGAAAATGGAATGCTGTAAAACACACTAGTGCCAGTTTTCTGTGTAATAAAATATATAGGTTGAAATTTGGCATTTTCTTTAAAAATGGCTGGCTGGATGGGGGCAGCACTGGGCAAATGAGTAGCAGTGAAAGTGTTAAATATAAATTTTAGTTTAAAATGCAATTAGCCCTTTGCTTTAACGTACATCAATCTTTGAGGTTAAAACATACATTTTTGGCTTTAAGTGACACAAAATATTTTAGTTTAAAATATTTTTGTTTTAAAACACATAAGATATTTTTGGCAGAAAACATGAATTTTGTGGCACTTAAAATATTAATATTTTTGCTTAAAACATATGAATCATTGAGCTTAAAACTTGAAATATTTGGTTTAACAAACAAGAATAATAAAGCTGAAAACATGTAGGATCTCTTGGTTTAAAATCTAAATGTTTTCTTTTAAACCACATAAATACTTTATGTTGTTGCTGTTATGAATTGAGCAAAAGAACAACATCAGTAGTACACAGTTATCAATGATGTAACTGCAGTTTCAAATGTGTCTTCTTTTTCTATGTGACATGTCACTTCAGGAGGTTGGCGATCATGGCTCTCCACAACTTTCTGTCCTTTGTAGCTCTTAATAAATTTTATCTTTTTATTATCTCTCCTAAACCCTGTTCCGCTATCCATTTACTCAAGCTAGCTAAGTAGGTTATGCATTGTTTTCCTCTGTCCCTCTTGTTCCCAGTCTGTCCTGTAAATATCAAACTAGTTGCTCATAAACGGTTCTGTAATGTAAACATCTGTTGACTCAGCATGTCCGTTTTTCTGTCTGTGGCCAGACAGTCTTGCTGATAACATATGTGCATACCAAGTAAAAACAAGTGACCCAACCCTCAAAACCAGATATTCAGCAATCCCTTTTGGTGTTTATTTTAGAGCAGTTGCTCTCAACCAGGGTCTATATGAACCCTGGGGGTCCATATATTATTACTGGGGTCCACACAAAAAATACCAAATTGGGGGTTAATTATTCACATATTTTAAAATGACTTATTATTATATTTTACTAGTGTACATAAATGTACCATAGAATATAGTCGTTAAATACAAGTTTATTTTCATTTAATTAATTTTATTTCAAAATAAAGCATATACATTTACTATTTCTAAAATACAATTCTGAAACTTATCTATTAGTAAAAAAAATAAAATAAATAGAAACTATCTCACTTGTTTGCTATTGTGGCATGTTGGGGCTTCCTTACTTTGCTCGATTCAGCAGCAGCAGCAACAGAAATAATCAGCAGGTTACAACCAGATGTTCCAGAGGTTATAAAAGCCTTGACCGAGCCATATTCAGCCTCTCTTTATCATTTTTTTCATTTCAGTGGCCACTATGTTCAAGGCCAGCTCTTTTTTCCACTCTTCCTTTACAGCAGCCACAACCTTAAAGCCTAACTACTTTGCACTCTCTTTCAACTAGAAATAAAAGCTGTTGAGCAGTTATTTCAAGTCTCACTCCCAAGCACAAACACACATGCAACCAGGAAAAATTCTTTACAAATAAGTTTTTTTTTCATTGAATGGCTATGGGGGTCCACCAAAAAAAAAAATTAAGAGTAAAAGTGGTTCATGTGTAAGAAAAGTTTGCGAACCACGTTTTTTAGAGGAATATCTGAAAGCAAGTATCCAAAACTTAACTGAATCTGATCCAATAGATGAAAACAAGGATGGAAATAATTTGGTGTGTACACATGGGCAAAAGGCCATGAACCGAATTTCCAGTTGTATTTTTTTTTCTCAGGTTGCTTTTAACTTGTACAATGAGGCATGACAAAGCTTCCAGTCTTATTTAAAGATAGGAGCAGATCTCAATGGGTGACATTCAGTTTTTCACTCAATAGAAACACAATTCATACTGACATTTCTATTATTGGGATGCTACCATAATTCAATTATGAAAAATGATCTCTTTGCTTTTAGCAGGCCTTGGGAAGTAAAATTCTTTTCTATTCTCTTCTCTAAACCCACAAAGCAACAGTGGCACTTACCACCCAAATACAATAAGATGTTCCCTTATATTTATATATGTAAAGGTTGGTGATGTAATATATTGTTTTTGACATGTGTTTATAGTTGGTAGAGTTTTTATCAGGTCTCCCTTGAAGTATTTTCGTCATAAAGAATTATGTTCTTTTTCAGGCTTCATGTGCACTTCACTAGTCATGCAGTGTTCATGTATATAATTTATATGTATCATAAATCTAGTTTGTCTATACGGGATTCAGATAATAATATATTTATATATATATGTGTGTGTGTGTGTGTGTGTGTGTGTGTGTCTAGTAGATATTATTCATGTTTGGCAGTTATCCGCATTTTACATCAACATTGATCATGGTATTGGTAGTTAAATATACATTAGAATCTTTAAGACTGGATTTAATAAAGTTTGATGACGTAATATAGTGCTTCTGACATGTGCTTATAGTTGGTAGAATTTTTATCAGGGTTCCTTCAAATTATTTTCAACATAGTTCTTTTTCTAATTAGCATGGTATTTGCAAAATCAATGTTATGCCAGTCTTGTTCCTGTGTAATACGAGCAAGTTTAAACAGTTGTCTCAATGTAGTTCTCTCTTACATTCATAGCTTTAATAAAAGCAAAACATGTTAGATTTATAAACATTTCACATTTGTTTTTTGTGCTATCATATATATATAAATATATATCTATATCTGTATGTGTGTGTGTATGTGTGCAAAGAGAGAGCAAGAGAAAGAGTGATAAGAATAGATTCAATAAATGTTTTTGATGTGTGTTTATAGTTGGTAATATTGTTAGTATTAGGTCCTCAAAGTACAGTCTTCTTAAAGAATTATGCTCTTTTTTTAATTAGGATGGCGTTACAAGAAAGTTTGAATGGTTGTCTAAACATAAATCTCTTTTATGTTCATAGATACTGGCTTTTTAAATCTTGTAGTGTTTCTCTGACATAAATGTTTTTACATTGTAAGCAATTTATTTGCTAAGTAGTATTGGTGTTGGATTTATTTTTCTTCCTAATTATATATCCAATTGTCTTGGACATGGTGGTAAAGATCCTACTATTAAGAATAAGTAATTTATTTACAAGTTTTTTAGAAAGAGTATTAGAGGGTAGGATTATGAATTTTGTGTTATTGTTGTTAGAAGTACTATATATATATATATATATATATATATATATATATATATATATATATATATCACCAGTCTTAGTAGATTTTATATTTCATAGTGTGGGACAGTCAGAAGAAAAGAAGATGGAGAGAAAAGAAAAAGAATACAGATGAATTTGGAACAAATTGAAAAAAAATATATATTCTTTCAAAAATATTTCAAAAATATTCTTTCAAAGTTTTGAAACTACCAGCATCTCTCATTTCATGCACATGTGTAGATGTGGTAATAACATCTACAAAGATCAGTCGGATGAAATCCTAATAGATGAAATGTGTCACACCAGAAATTTTCCAGTTTGTCATATTTTTCTAAATACTGTTTATTGATATATAAAATTATACACAATTATATATTGTTATATCATTATATATATATATATATATATATATATATATATACACACACATATTTTGTTCTTCACTGTTTCGTACAACTCTGTCTTAAGAGAAAGATTTTATAGATTTTAACTGACAGAGAACAAACTGCTCAGTCAATGAATGCCAAATGTTTTCTTATAAGGAAACCATTACCATACATATATGACTAAATGTGAATTCTGCCTGCTTCTGGATATGTCTGATTAGATTTTTAAAGTGTTTCATATATCAGAAAGGATCATAAGAATTGATGTTCAAACTTTTTGTGATCTCTACTGTTTAGTTAGTGATCATCGAATCTAAAAAAACAACCCAAGTGTTGTGATAAAAAGCAAAACAAGAGAGATGAAAAAAGAAAAATCTAATAAAAATTCATAAGATCTTATTTTATTTTAAGAAAGTCTCAATGCAAACCAAAATAAAACTGAGCGCAAAGTCTCTTGAGTTTACTCAGATTAGATGAAGAAAGGTAAATGAAATAATTCTGGGAGAAATCAGGCGGTGGCTAGTAGGATGGGGAAGTATCAAATATGGCAGCAATCTTTGGTTGATAATAAAATAGGTGACAGGATAAATTTAGGACTTGATTAGCAGCACTGAAGGGGAAAAACAGCACCTTTTCTATATACTCAATTTCAACAAGGCTCAAGAGTCACTCAAGATAGAGGGTTAAAGTTTTTAAGAATTCAAGAGAGGACATGAAAGTGGGTGGTGATTAAAAGAGAAAAACCAAAAAAAGGAAAACTGAGTGAAAACCGAAAGAAAAAAGATTCAAAAAGAAAGAAAGAAAATTGTGGGAGAAAGTAAAGGAAAGAAGAAAGATTCAAAATTAAAGAGAGAATCTTGAAAGAAAGAAAGGAGAGAAGAATCATGAAAAGAACATAAAAGCAAACAATAAGGGCAAAAAAAAGGAAGTAAGAGAAACAAAAAAAAGAGAGAAATAAAAATAGAACCAAGGCAGTGGGAGAAAAGAAAGGTAAAAAACGAATAAATGGTATATGGGTAGTGGGGAAATAGAGAGGGTGGGAAAAGAGAAGTAGATATGAAAGGAAGAGAATAAAAGGAAAACAAACAGAGAGGTGGAGAAGTAGAAAATTGAGAAGGATGAGGAAGAAGGAGGAGGAAAGGGGAAAACTTGAGATATGATTGGATAGGAAAAGAAAAAATATGAAGAAAAAAAGGATGGAAGAAGAGGAGAACCAAATCAGAAGATAGAAGAAAAGAAGTGAAGTGCCAAGGACTATAAAAAGAGAATACACAAGGGAGCTGTAAAAAATAACAGACACAAAAACAGAGATAAATGATGGAATTTAATAAGTGAGGTGGGGTGGAAGTAAAAAAAACACCAGATTGCCACAGTTAAAGTTAAAGTTCCAAGAGAAACAGATAAAAAGAAAAAAATAGAATCAGGTAGAGGACATAGACAAAATTTTGTGATTAAGAAAATACTCAAAAAAATTAACTTAATCTATATAATAAACGTGAATGTCAATGTGTCATTGTCTCACACTTTTTCAACTTAAAGGGACACTACTCTCTATCTTTCAATAGCTCATGTTCAAATGAAAAAATTACTGTTCTCAAATTATATTGTTTCAAAATAAAATTGTCCCTGTTTTCAACTTTACTCCTAGAGAACATAACCCAACATATCATACCATTTTGGAAACAGACTGACTTATAAAGATATGTAGGATAGATAGCAGTTGACGCTAGACTTGAAAAGTTACAGATTGTAGTGATCAGGAATGTATACTCCGTGTAGTCCGTTCTGCAGTATTTTCTTTTACTAATTTTCACCCAATATAATGCCCAAGTGCCACTCAAGGTAGAGGGTTACAAAATTATTCTATTGCCAGGGCATACAGGGATGGAGCAAGAGGTGCATATTATGAGGATATGTAGGATATATAACGGTTGGCCCTCGACTTGAAGAAGTTAAAGATTGTAGTGATCAGGGAAGCATCCTTTATGTAGTCTATTCTGCATTATATTTTTTCAAATAATTTTAAACCAATAATACCCAAGAGCCACTCAAGGGAGAGATTTACTAAATAATGTTATTCTCAAAGCATACAAGGATGGTGCAAGAGGTGCATATTATGAGGATATGTAGGATACATAACACTTGAAATAAAACAGCAATATAATATTATAGTGATCAGAATATTTCTCCTCTCACTCAGGAGCCTATTTTCTTTTGCAATGATGTTCACCCTGTACAAGGCCCAAGAGCCACTTGACGTAGACGGGTACAGAGTATAAGGTACATCGGGAGGCAAGGAGACAGCACAGAAGTGAAAGAGAAGGAAAAGAATTTAGAGAGCGCTTAAAACCCAATCCTAAACAGGAAACAAGGGATAAACGTCTACTTCTGTTCAAAAGATCGGAGAGGAGTGTGAACCGGACGATAGGCGAATCTACCTACTCCTATTAAAACCTATCTGTTCCTATTAGTCTGTTCTACAATGCAAAAGTTCTGGAGAAGTTGTCTGAGTGGAACTTCCTCCTTAACAATGGAATATAAAGGGAACAAAAATGAGTCAACTCAATGGTCGCGTCTTAGCTGTGATAGCAGTGAAATACCAGAACAAACAAGGTGTGGCCGATTGTAAAGTTTAATGTAATAATACTAACAATTAGTATTCTAATGAAAGGATCCCGTAGCAGAACTCGACTGGAAACACGGAAACACTATGTATTCGAAACACTAGAACAAGAAAGACAATTTACGTGGTCAAAATGCTATCAGAATACATACCAGAAATGTCGAGAAACCTACGATTGTATTTAAAAGACTACATAATGTCACTTGATAAATCACAACGGAAGGAACACGTTTAAATGTTAGGAAAACTTGATCTACCAGGAAAGGATATATGAATAATCCGCAACATGTATTGGAAATGGGTTGTATGCAAACAAAAAAACATATTAAGCTAACACACCAAAATAGAAAGAGAAATTCAGTAAGGATATTTTTTTCTTACTGGATTTCTTTAACTTACACAGAAGGATGAATATCAGAAAATTAGAAGACCTAACAGGATTTATTATCGATGGATGATTGATTATGTGATTTGCTTTTTACGGTTTATCAACCTTTTGTGGGATGTTTAAAACCGAAATATATTTTGGATTCTAAGAATAATTTTTTTTATTTATTTCTTATTTTATTTCTTTTGTTTCATTTTTAATTTTTTGCTAATGAACATTGAATTATCATTTTTTTGGTGGGTGGGAAGAAAAACAATGATTATTCCAAGTCATACTATTCAACCCATAGCTGAGGAAAGGAAATTGGTTCATACCTTTCCCACTGGATTTATTTAACTTATACAGTGTGATGAATCTATGAGAATTAGAAGACCTAATAGGATGTATTATTGATAGTTGAATGAGTGACTGATATGTTTTTTTTTTTTACAGCTTAACTTTTTTGTCTAAATCCCAAACATATTTTGAAATGTAAGAATAATTCTTTCATTTATTTTATTTTATTTATTTATTTGCAAGTGAAAATTGCATTAACAATTTTCTCGGGAAGAAAAACAATAATTATTCCAAGTCCTACTATTTAACTCTTATATAGGGAAAAGAGATGGATTCATATCTTTCACAAAGCTACTTGAGTGTCTGTGAATATAAAAAACCCGACTGGAAATAATGATCTACTCCCACAGTTTGCAAACGGACGAGGCGATTGTAAAAGAAAAAGTTAACTGACTGTAAGTGATTATAATGATCAATACGCTACAGGAATTTCTTCATTATGTAACAAGTTCTCTTGATATGGCAATGGCATGGAAGTTTAAATATCATCTAAAGCTTACAGCTTTACTTTTTTGTTTCGAAAATTGCACAATTTTAAGAAAAAAAATGGGAGAGAACGTATCAGCCATAAGATGTTCGAAAATAAGACCACTAAATATATTTTCTGTAAGTTAGAGAAAATTGTACTTCTACTTTGTAGGTTTACGGCCATATCACGTTGTAACTCCAGTTCCCGTACAATTACCAAAGCTAAGAAACGTTGAACCGCTGCTTATTTAACCTCTTCCTCGTCAATTATTTCAGGAAAAACCTTTCATTTTCAAACGATTTTTTTTATTTCTTTTTAATATAGTAACTAAGAAACTGAGACACCTTGAAGTACCCGAGAGGTGGATAACACCTCTACCAGACGTATGAGTTGACAACTGAACTCGTTTCAAGCCCAGAAAGGCAGAAAAAAGAATCAAGATTAACGTACAAACACGTCAGTAGCTGGTTTTTGAAGGTTATTTTTGGACGTGTTTATTCGTCCGTGTCCTAAAAAGACATTTTCTGTAAAAACGTATATAGCGAAGGGATTAAAGCCAGAAAATATTATTTTCAGCTTATAAGATTATTTTTTTTTTTTTTTAGATAATAATGGTTTCGTGATACACGTCTTACTAATTAACCCTTAGCTGGGAGAGAAGAGGTTGATTCATACGTTTTCTAAGGGCATTTGCGCGTAAGTGAATAAATGAACCCAACTGAAATTGGAACTCGGCACTCCGATTAAAATTTCCGAGGCATTATCTATTACACCACCCGCACATCCAAGCTTACAACACTTGGTATTCCCAAGCGGTCACCCGTCTAGGTACTGACCAGGCTTGACGTCCCTTAACTTCGATGGTCGTACGGGAACCTGTGTTTTAACGAGATATGGCCGTAAGCATGTCCAATTTTTTTTTCATAAAAGGACAACAGATCACGTCAGTTTGAAAGGATATATAATCAGCTATTTTTATCACCAGAAGTTCTATTTTTCATGGCTTATACACCCAAGGAAAGCAAACGAACGAGTCAGTTGAGATAACAAAATCCAGAACATTAACATGTTCGATTGTGAATGAGAATTTTGAATGAAGGCACAATTTAAAAAAAAAAAAAAGGTTCATTTAAACTATTTTACTATTACACATATGAATTAAGCGTCAGATTTAATTTGTTTGTCGATGTCACGAACGTTGTCTTTTAAAGATGTTCTTAATAGATGAGGAAAAACAAAAGTTCATTGCCTTATGTTTTCTTTTATTTAAAAGGCATTACCAATTATCGCATTACCATTCGAATAGAAAAAGGAGAAGGAGGGGAGGAAGTAGTAGAAAATGAAGAAAGGAAGATGGAAAATAGTAGAAAAAGAGAAAGAAAGGAAGTAGAAAAACTAAAGAAGTGGAAAAGAGAACAAAATAGAAAAAGAAGAAAAATAAAAGAAGGAAAAAAAGTAGAAAAGAAAAAGAGGAAGGTAAGAAGTAAAAAAGTAAACGAAAAAGGAAAGCAAGCAAGAAAAAATATAAGAAGGAAGTTATAAAAGAAAAAAAAAAGAATAATGAAAGAAAAAGAAAAAAAAAAGGAAGAAAAAGAAAACGAACCAAAAAGACAAAGAAAGTAAAAAAAGAACGAAAATAAAAAAAGCAAACAAAGAAAAAGAAGAAGAAAACAAAGACCACAAAGAAGATGGGAAGAAGGAAAAGAGAAAACAAAGTAAATGGGAAAAAATGTAGAAAAGAAAACAAAAAAGACAGAGAATGGGAAGGAAAACAGAAGTAGAAAAGACAATTACCAATAATAATAATAAGAAGAAGAAGGAGGAGGAGGAGGAGGACGACGAGAACACTCCAGTTTACATCTTCAATCAGTTTTGCCTGCTTTATTTTATAAGGATGTATATTTGCATAAGGAGAGTGCATTCGAAGTATTGAGGGTTTGAAAAACAAGGTCAAAGAAAGATTGCAAATGGTTTTAGATGCGTGAAGAATTTTCAAGTTAGAAAATTCCAAGTCAATTTCAGCCAAACTCTAAATTCCAAACTAATGGCACCATTAGTTATACGTCACTTTAATGCCATTAGTTCTTGTAGATGAAGCCACTTGGGATGCAACAACAAACCTCTCGGCTATCACTCCATAGTTCTAACCCTGTAGAATAAACGCACTCAAATATTTCTATGAAATTTATTGACAGCAATTTAGAGCAACAGTCATGTTATAGTGCTGAGTTTTAAAATGATGCTTCCTGGATAGTGTCAATTGGTAGATATTGGTTGTAAACGCTATGAATACCTGTGTGTTTTTAGCGTCTTAGATTACCAATGGAAACTGAATCTCTCATAGGTAACGTCATATTACAATTGTACTTGCTACTAAATTACTTAGTAAGTTAAACAATGAATCGTTTTTCGGGATCTTTCACAACAAACCAGCTTTACCTGTTTTTAGGAAATGCACTCTTCCTATCTGGTAAGTAAAATCCTACTTTCACATGAATATAACAAGTATTCATTGGTCAATCACCTCCAATCTTGCTTGCTGATTGGTCAGTTCCGACCAATCAAACCGCCTGCACGCGACCAATCTGTTTTTCCCGCTTTCTCCGTTTGAGCCTCCCACGTGGTACACGGCCATTATATAAACCCAACACGTGTAAACTTCCTCGAGTTTTTCTTTCCATTCATCTCTCTCGCACGTCTCATTCCTTGCTACCAAGTGCCAAGATGTCACCTTCAGGAACTCCCGTCTTAGTCATTTGCTGGCCAGACGTTAAAGATAATTACCAACATTCACGAACTCTGAAATCACTCCTGAACTTTTACCAACTTTAGAACTCACAATTCCAAACTTTATTCTTCTAAATTACAAGTTTAATATTACTTCTTCTTAATATGAACACCGGTACAAATGTTACCAAATCAAAGGGACACAACTCTGTCCTACCTTTTCAGTTCGCATGCATGTACATCAAACATAAATAAATTTAATTGTTATGTTTTGGAATCATTCAGTTCAGTTTTGTATTTTATTCTATGTGCTATTTACGTCAAGTATAAATTGCATTGCGTTCACGCATTGTCCTTAATCTCATCTTTCTTAGCCAAAATTAAATATTGGTAACTCTATATCAACATATATTGATGACCGCGACGTTCGTCGTTCAACGTTCACAGCAACAATAGTAATACAGCCATCACATATATTGGGGATTCCGTCGGAATTAAACAATGGTAAGATAAACCACTACAGTTTCATTTTCATATTCAAAACACAGATGCTGTATGTTTTCGTGAAAGAAAGAGTGGAAGATATTAATTAATTAATTAAGAAAGAAAGTGCTGAAGATATTAAGAAAGAAAGAAAAAGTTGCAGGTTATTAAAAAGTCCGAAGAATTTAAATAGTGCAGAAAGAATTTATCTTCTTTCCGATTTTAAGCATTACATTTATATACAGAATGGGGTATTTTTCAAATCAAACAACTTTTTCAAAGAATATATATATATATATATATATATAGGTAGGGTGTATCAATGTATAAAATGGACGCGAGGCTGCACGTTTTCAGATCGAAGGCTGCTGAGTCTTCAAAACTTTGCTGCTGTTTATCGTCTCGTTACTGAAACAGAATATATGCCACCGCAAACTATGGATCAAGGATAACTGATTGTATAATTAACGTCTACCGTAAAATTTAAACTCAAAAAGGAAGGATTTTCGGACGTGTTTATATGGACTTTTGTCCTTGTTTTGGCGTGAGAAACCCGCCCCAATATTTGCAAAAGTATTTTTGATACTCACTCTCTCTCTTATATATATATATATATATATTCAGGCATGTGTTAAAAACTACGGAATTTTTCCGCTTATCTTTATTTCAATTTTTCCTTGTTTTCTCGCAAGTTTGTTAATGTTTGATTTTAGGTTGTTAAATTAAGACCCCAGTCGATGGTTTTCTGCCGAGCGCTTTCGGTTGTCCTCAGCTGTCATGGCGTTTGTTTTGGTTTGAAAATATGCAGTTCGTTGTTTTAGTTTTATAGATAATATTAGTTGGGTTTGTTCATTATTGGTAAGGTGGGGGTTGATGTTTATTATTGGAGGATTAGTTATTAAAAATATTTAATATCTTTCTGCCAGTATTAAATGCTATTTTATTTATGTTGGGTTTTTATTAGTATCGCATACAGAATTTGTAGTCGTTTTTTGCAGTTGGTTTTATAGTGAATTTTGGATTTGTCAATTAAGATTTTTATGTCGGATGATTTGAATGGGTTACTGGTAGTGCTGTGTATTGTTACAAGATGATTTTTATGTCACTAGTGTCATTAAGGTGGTATTTAAGCCTACGTGAGAGAGTTGTGGTTGTGTGTCCGATGTATGCGCTCGGGCTATTAATTCGGGCATACAATGTATGCTCGAACGCATGGATGTATATCTGCGCCTAATCTCGGATTGATTTTATGGGTGTGTTTGTGTGAACTAAAATGCGCACTCCCGTTATGTGTGTGTGTCTTTGTGTATGAGAATGTCATCCCAAACGGACACAGAGGAGAATTCCCCCTCCCACCACCACCAAACATAATTAAACACAAACAAGCATAAATAGGTTCAATTTTTAAAAAAATCAGTTTCTCTGATGATCCTAAAAGTGTGAAAGCCAGGCTCACAAACTTATATCCATACAGTTATATATATATATATAATATTATGATCTACTGTTTGTATCGAGCACTGTTTTTTTAAATAAAATATCTTACTAAGAACACCAGATTATAGATCTTACTGTTCTTATTATTTCAATATATGTATTATATATATATTATATATGTATTATATATATATTATATATTTTTTCACCTTCGCCTCTCTAGCGTAGTGGACAACGAGCACCTACTGCAGGTCATTTCGACTGATTATCACTAAGTGCCCCAACTAAGCTTCCTAGTTCAAAACTAAACTGGTCTTAGTAAATATCAGTTAAGACGCCTTGCAACAGAGTAGCTGTTAGCATTCTAATCTCTCAGACCATGTGCCCCACATATGTGTCCATGTTCCATTCTAATCAACAATTCTTTTTCCTCCTTCTTTCTTTGCCACACCAGATTTTCCATGAACCTCATTATAATCGGATTATATTTCATAGCGATGACATAAACAGAATCGTAAGTTGAAATTGTTTGTAAATATCATAAACGCATTATTACAACTGTAATCTTTTCTTTTTTTGGTGGGGGTTGTTTGGGAATATTCAAAAACCAAAGTTCGCTGTGTCACGTTTTTCTGTTTATTTATAGCACATTATCATCTGTCCCCGCAATTCACGCCAGGATGGAATTGTGCACTTCAAGCATTTTGAATTAAGGTGACGAGATCGGGGGAAAATTTGAAAATCACTGGCCTTGAGGTAGCCATTAGAGCAAAGAAGATCCCTTCACCCGGAATAAAAGGAATCCCTTCCCAGCCATCTTCTTCTTCTTGTGCATTCAAGTCAAAGAATCTAATTTTCACAGCGTTTTTGTTGTCTAATAAAATATCTAATCATACACTGTAATAAGGCCGAGAGTTACTGATGCAAAACAAATTATCGAGTCAGGGAAGCGTAATATGCATTCTGTCTATAACCACAAGGTTCCCGTGGAAAATCATATTTGACAGATCCTTGAAAACGCTGTCCATTAATACCATGTGCAGATTGTGACCCCTCACCCACCACCACACAACAGGAATTGCTGTGGGCAACTGTTCAGATTATACAAGAGATAAGTTTTGTCTAAACCATAAATCGTCGACCAGAACCAACGGTCTCGAATCGAAAAAAAATATTTCAAGACTAGCTTTGCTTGAAATAACATTTAATTTGTAGATATGATTGCGATAAATCTGTGCCCAAAAAGAACTAGTTGGAGAAAACATCTCATGGCGTAAAACTAAAAAAGAAAAACCGCTTCATGAAAAAACGATTATTGTCCAATTGTCGTATACCATAAGGTCAAGAATCACTCTTTTAGAAGAAAATTAAAAAAAAAAAATCTTGAACAAAATGCAACTTCCATTTCTTTTGTAGTTTTTTGTTTGTTTTGTTTGTCTTTTTTTACAGTGAGGTTCACCCTCTACAAAGCCGGTTACAGAATAAGAGGCACAGTTTATGCGGATATGCAGTGAAAACGATTAACCGTAGACTTGAACAGGTTAAGATTGTAGTGATCGGGGAAGCATCCTCCTGGGAGTCGGTTCCACAAAGTAAGAGGTAAGAAGCACAGTTTATGAGGATATTTGGGGAGGATAACAGTTAGCTCTAGACTTGAACAGATTAAGATTGTAGTGATCGGGGAAGCATCCTCTTGGGAGTCTGTTCCACAAAGTAAGAGGTAAGAAGCACAGTTTATAAGGATATGTGGGGAAGATAACGGTTAACCCTAGACTTGAACAGGTTAAGATTGTAGTGATCGGGGAAGCATCCTCTTGGGAGTCTGTTCCACAAAGTAAGAGGTAAGAAGCACAGTTTATGAGGATATGTGGGGAAGATAACGGTTAACCCTAGACTTGAACAGGTTAAGATTGTTTTGTGGGGAAGCATCCTGGGAGTCGGTTCCACAAAGCATCACTCCTGAGGATATGTGGGAGGATAACGGTTAACCCTAGACTTGAACAGGTTAAAGAGGATCGGGGAAGCATCCTCCTGGGGAGTCGGTTCCACAAAGTAAAGAGAGTAGGTACAGTTTATGAGGATATGTGGGGAGGATAACGGTTAACCCTAGACTTGAACAGGTTAAGATTGTAGTGATCGGGGAAGCATCCTCCTGGGAGTCGGTTCCCCAAAGTAAGAGGTAAGAAGCACAGTTTATGAGGATATTTGGGGAGGATAACGGTTAGCTCTAGACTTGAACAGATTAACGGGGAAGCATCCTATTGGGAGTCTGTT